ACACCGTAAACATCGATGGTTTCGGCATGTCGGTTTCGCGCGTTTACGTGGGCTTGGAGCCAGCAACAACAACAATGTATTCTGCACATGAAGTCAGGGATGTCGGTTTTGCGCGTTTACGTACGGGTTGGATCAAGGAACAAGAACAAGAAGAAGAACAACAACGCCGTTCAACAACGCCAACACCAATACCACCAACACCACCACCACCAATAACAACAACACAAACACCAACACCCGCTGCAATAACAACACCAACAACAGCACCAGCAGCAGCAGCAGCAGCAGCAGCAGCAACAGCAACCAGAACAGCACAGCCGCAACCTCAAGCCGCACGAAACCATAACTCCTCCGGCCAAGGATGCATGAGAATCCTTTGATTCCTGGAACCCGCTGTTCGTTTGCTGGTTCTTCTTCGACTTTCTAATAACTTTGCGATGTTAACTGGTCTAGCAACTCTACTGCAAGTCGTAGTATTATTGCCGTGTCTTTCGTTCGCATCGTTGTGTTACCCATCGCCTGGGTTGCGCCTGGAACAAAAGACGCGGTGCTGCGGTGCTGTCCTACCTCCCAAGTTTCTGAAGGAAAGTCTTGGGCTCGGTTTCTTTGTGCTAGCGACATTGCTGACAATGTTGCACTAACCTCTTCGAAGAACATGATGTAAACAATAGTGACCTTCGGTCGCGTTGACGCATCGTTTCGCATGATGCATCCTCGGCCAAAGTTATCCTGATCTCATCCAGTGCCCAGCGTTTCTTGCGTTCTTTACTGTTTCGTTATCTGCATGTTGGGTTGCCGTGGATTCAGGAGTTGCCCCACAAAGGACACACGTCAGATCGTGAGCAACCTAATTCAACCGACCAAAAGCATGGACCACCGAGTTCTACACTAGGCAGGTTCAGGGACTGGGCGTTCGGTTTGCGGACATCTTGGTGTGACGATGTCAAAACCGCGATTTCAAGATCTTGAATTTGCGGGTCAAGCTCTGTAACCTGTAAGACATCAGCCAGCTAAAAGACTTTGATTTTTCGCAGCATTGAGCGGCCTTGATGCAGTTGTCAACTTGACCGCATTTTGTGATCTTTCACCTGGCAGGATGGGTCCCCAGGCATGGCTTCGGAGCACAGGCGCGCACACGCACACACACCATCACGTGTGCATTGCCCCATCACCCATCACGCTGTACACCCATACGTACAGACCTCCCTTCCCTCAGCCTCTTCCTGATTCCTCGCTCGCTCGCTCTCTCTCTCTCTCTCTCTCTCTCTCTCTCTCTCTCTCTCTCTCTCTCTCTTTTCTCTCTCAGTCTCTCTCACTCTCTCTCTCTCTCTGTCTCTCTCTGTCTCTCTCTCTCTCTCTCTCTCTTAATCTCTGCCCGCGCGCAAACAGAAGGATGCTTCTCAAAATGGTTCATGTTGTTAATTCTGATGACAATTGATTAATCGTGTTGTCTTCAGCTTCTAGAACTTCTTGAAGTAACATGATTCCTGTTCCTTGCTTAGTGGCCGAAAACAAGTTCCACGGAAGGTTGATAAGCCTCCGAAGAGTCAGGGCTAGTAGTTTTGGGCGGCATGTTTTGGGTTTCCGAAATTAGGAGAGTTAAGGGTTTTGCAGCAGTTGCATAGGATCTTGACACAGGTTTGTTTAGAGCTGGTCGAGTCCAGTCTCAGTGTTTGAAACCGACAGCACGGACAATTCGACTTCCATGCACTCTGTCACAAAAGTAGGTTCTTTCGTTAGGAACATCACACGGCAGGCCGCGCAGATGGACGTGCAAGCTTCTCGGAGATGGAGGTTTTTTGGCTTCAGGGATGTGTAATGATTTGAGTGTTGGGAATCTTCGGGATTTGTCGGGGCTTCGGGGGGCGTAGCTCCACCCCAAACCCTCCGAGCCACCTTCAACCCTAAACCCTCGAGCCTGTAATCCGTCATCTTTCAGAGTTTTCAGGCTGGCAGGGTTTAGGCTGTGCTGGGTTTCGGCTTTGAGGCTTGAAGGGTCCAGGGCGCTCGAGGTTTAGTTCGCGTAGAGATCAGTGTCGGAGTTGTGGGCACCAGTGCAACCTTCATGGGTCTTCACAGCCCTGGATGTTGGCACAGTCTGCCAAAGCAGAAACACAACTTCCTGCTTGAAGGTTCATGGAGCCCCCACTTGAGTATCCGATCACTAAATGGATGATATATAGGGGGCCTGCTTGTTCAAGGTATCCGGTATCCGGTAACCATGTGTCGGATCCTTCCAAGCTTTTGGGTGGTCCCACATGAACCCTTTGTCAGCTTCCAGGGATCCTGACATGCTCTTGAGTCAACGCTCAACCTGAAACCGACATCAGGATCCTTTGTTTGAGTGATTTGAAGGACGTTGCCCATTTTGGGCGGTTCTGAGGCATGTGGACTCTTGAAGTCAGGGTGTGAAGGTTTTGCAATGGGGCCAAGCTTCTCTTGGGGCTATTTGCAACAAACCCCAAATCCGAACCTCCCGAATGCACTTGAGCAACAGAAGATTAACACCCAGCAGAAGCCCTAAAGACCGTAGAGCCCCAAATCCTCTGAAAGCTTTTACGATGAAACTCGTGCCATGTGCGAGAGTGAGGGTTTTGGGCAACTGTATATATATATATGTATATGCATACATAGAGAGAGAGAGAGAGAGAGAGAGAGAGAGAGAGACAGTTATCAACGGACAGGTTCGTCGTAGAAGATGCAAGAGCCATTAGCCTTGCTGCAACGTCTAACGAGATGTTGCCACAGCTAGCCCGAAGGTGTGGTGCCAATGCAATTTGAGTTTGTCCCCGACGCCATTGGAAACCCTTGTTACAGGATTGCATTTTCAAGACTTGTTGTTTACTTGACCTCCCACCAAGCTGGTCCTTGGACTCATGCGGGATGTGCACTCCTTAAAGGCTGGAGGTGCCCACATCCTTAGCTACCCCCCTAAATCCTAATCCCCAAGCCCTAAACTCTCCGCCTAAACTCTAAACACTCCGAGCCTTGCTTGTGCTGAGCCCAAACCAGAAGCCTAATCTTTTCATCGTTTGACTGGAGTTTCGGATAATTTGGGTATGTAGGGCTTAGGCCCTAAACCTCAAATCCCCAACTTGTCCGAAACTTTAACACCCCGACATAAGCCCGAATCTTCTGGGAGAGGTTTAAAGAAAGGAAGCCCGGAACACGAAATCTGCTCTAAACGGGAAGCCCAACCTCTCGACTCTGCCATGCGTGCTTGTCCGAGGACGCAGCCGCGAACCTTATACAGAGGATGCGGTGGCCCATTTGCAAGTAATCTGGGGTTTAGGGTTTTAGCCTCAACCCTTCAACCAAGGATCACCCCGGAGCCCCTTATGTCAGAGTATGTCTGGGCTTTTAGCTTTGGCGTCTCTGTATCGAGCTTCGTCTGGACCCTGCAGAAAATCGTGCCTGTTGTCGCTGATAAGAGAGTCAGTATAGACGTGGGGAAGAGAGCCTCGACAGAAGCCCTCGCCCGGCCACTTTCGGCAAGGAATGCGGTGAGATTAAAAGGCAATTGTAGGGCGACGACGATCAACATGTGTTTGTTGAGCTGCTTGCTGACTGCAAATTTGGCTCCCCGTGCTAGGTCGTTCCTTTTCGTGAACCGGCTGCGGCACACGTGACGGGGACGTGGTTAAAAAGCGGGTGGTGTGAGCCGTGCGAGGCTTTGCCATTGTCAGTGGCACAGTTCCTTGACAGATCAAGAGCATTTGGAACGGTAGTGCGTGGAGTTCAGTCATTGCTGCTGAGCGCCGCGGGGCAGGAGTTTCTCATGATTGAGTTTGCTCTTGGGGCATCGTTGCTTGGTGACGAGTCCGAGCACATAGGATTGGGAAGGTTGACTGAAAGGTTAGAATGTTGCGTCGGAAGATATTGACGTCGGTTCGGAAAGATGCAACCCCCATAAGAAGGTGCACCACAACGTGAATTCACGAACATGCCAACATTACAGGCCCACAACAACTCGCATTTCCACACTGTTTCATCCGTTGAACATGTTCATTGTGGATATGGTGCACATCATTCGTGTCAGGCTAGGCGAGCGAGTTTGTCGTTTCCCGATAATTCGGCAGCTAGCTCAGCAGAGCCCTTGTGCTTGTGGCATGTTGTGCAGTGTTTTCGAACCTGGACGTGAAGAATGGCAATGGGGTTGGTATGAGTCTATGCTTATACTCTTCACTGCAGCATATGCATGTTGGCCTCGGGGCATATGTCCGGTTAATGTTCATTTGTGCATCATGCAGCGTGTTCCTTTGCTGTCGAACAAACTTCGATTAGCAAGCGTGCATTTGCCTTCCCTTCTTATGCAGCTGTTGCGAAGATTTTGTTTCCAATTTCGTTTATAAATTCCGCAATGCGTCGCATCATGCGGTTCGCACTTCGGCAGTTGGGCACACGTCGGACTTGGTAGAACGGTCGGGTTTTGGCTTCTCTTGACCATGCCAAACCATGGCGATGCGATGGCTGTGGCGACCGGTCGTGTGCATTGATTCTGAATATGCGTCAGAGCAAGCTTGGTATGTTACCTGTGCAGAGCCTTTGTTTTACCAATCTTGATTTTGCTTGACATTTCCGCACATATGAGCCCCATTGTCCGACCGAACCAGTGGGTTCAGCAAGTGCATGAAAACTGCCACATGAACCTGCCGTCAAGTTTAGCTGACCTGCTCCATGCAGTTTTCAAGCCGAGTATGTGAATTAATCTAATAGGTTCTTTCTGGTGTGTCGTCGCAACAAGTTCGGGAGCCCAGCATTCAGAGTTGCACGGCTTTTGGCATTCCGGGCACATGTTCGTTTTCTGAGTTCAATTCCTTGGCTCCTTGCGTGATGTCACCGCGGCTCCACTTGCATTCTCAAGGTTTGCAGCAAACTTAATTGTTGTAAGTGCTTATTGCCGAAGCGGTTTGCAACTAGTATCATGTGCATGTCTAGGTAGTCGCTGCACAGCTCGTGCACCGAACCAATTACGCATTGAACAAAGTTGCTTGGGAGCAATGGTCAGCCATCTTGCTCTGGGCTATGTGTGCTGCTTGCTCGCCAGCGTTGCCTACGCGGTGAACTTTCTGCCTGTCAAACGGTTGCTTTGCTCAGCATTTTGCAGATGTGTCGCGGGAAGGAATCGCGCACAAAAAAAGAAGAAGTACCTAAACTCAACTTAGCCATCATGATCCTGCAGCCAGATAGTTATGTATTTCATGCGTGGCATACATATCTCAACGAATGCGCTAATCTAGCCAATCCTGCTGAAGCCCACCCCGCAGGCTGTTGCAGTCACACGCAGAATCATTGCGGCACTTCCAAAACAAAGTTGTGTTTAAGACCGCAAGCCACAAGATCTTTATCTCGGCACCCCCGAGGTACGACACGGGCGATGGGATCTTTTTCAGCTTCGCCATGTCTGTGGGGATCTTGCTGGTGGGCCTGCTCACAGGCTCGCGGGACTGGGCTTTCCGAGCGGCAGGCTTCAGCGCAAGCGGTTGGAATCTTGTTAGTTTCAAGCTTATGCTGCGAGATACCTGGAAGATTGGGCTAGACTTGTTCAATTTGAACGGCTTTGTCCGAGGCTTATTGCAACAGGAGCCTCTGGATTTTGAGCCGCTGGCAGCCCTGGGTGGCGTGATCTTCACCGTGGGCAACCTCCTATGCCCGGCAGCGCCTCACTTGCGCTGGCTCGGAGACTGGAAAGTTCAGGTGGTTCTACAGAGTTTCGGTAGGAGGCGGTCTGGTGTCTCTGTCTTTGGGAGAGGGTGGAGTCTGGGACTTGGGTGTAGGGTATGCAATATGCAGAGTTTCAATATCCCGGTTTTGTGTTCGCAGGTGGCTGAATCCTCGTGGAGTGTAGGCTTGTTTGCTTACCAGAGTGCATGCAAAATATGTCTAGAGGCATCTGGCATTGATACTGTTCAAGCTAAAGCTACACTGCTGCTAGTACAGTGCTGGGACTGCGACGTTGACGGCTGCTGTTGCTGCTCCTCCCTACTGCTATGACGACGACGACTACCACTACTGCTGCTGCTGCTGCTGCTGCTGCTGCTGCTGCTGCTTCTGTTACTGGTACTACTACTACTACTACTACTACTACTACTACTACTACTACTACTACTACTACTACTACTACTACTACTACTACTACTAGTACTCCTACTCCTACTCCTACTCCTACTCCTACTCCTACTCCTACTCCTACACCTACTACTGCTACTACGACAACGACGACTTCGATTGCTCAAGCTCCTGCTCCTCCTGCTGCTGCTGCTGCTGCTGCTAAATCTGCTGCCGCTACAACTGCGACTGCCACGCCACTGCCAACTGCTGCTGCTACGACTACGACTACGTCGACGACTGCGACGACGACTGCGACGACGACTGCGACGACGACTACGACCACCACTCCTGCTGCTGTTTTTCTTGCTTTCGCAGCAGCGCCTGCAACCTGCCGAACCTGCCGAAAGGTGATCCAGCTGATTGGCTTGGGGCTTGGCTTGACGATTTGGGATCTCAGCCGCCTGGCAAACTCCCTCAGAAGTCGGGGTTCGGCTCTTCTAGACAAACGATGCGTGGTGAGGTTGCAGATGCAAGGAGTGGTTGTAGTTATACCAGCATAATACAGACATCTTGAACCTTGAGTCAATAAAAACAACATGCAGTCGGCACTGCCGAGTGCCGGACGTGTTTCTGCTGGGCTTGCGGGTTTGGGGTCTAGCTGTGAGGACCGCATCTTCGCCATGCCGCACACCTAAATGAGCCTCATGGCCGAAGGCTGTGCATCATGGCACTCAGAACTCCCAGGAAGGGTTTTGCATCCGGTCGCGTGTACGGGTAAGGTTCGTGTCGTCACACGCAAACTTCAGGGGGTCGAGGAAACCACCTGGCCATTATCTGGCGTTGAATTCACCGGAGTTTCTGCCAAGAGTTTGGTGTGCACAGGTTGGATGCTAAACTCCAATCCTGTAGTCTTGACTTTTAGCTCAAGACAAACGGACTGAGGCAACATGCTCACTGGCTGGGCCACTCGGATCGCTTCTAGGGGGAGAATTCTGGCATGCACTATTTTTGCTTGCGCCATTGGTGCCGCCACCCGTGCACATACATGAGCATCTGCACACCTACCCTGCTGCCCACAAGTACGTGTATGTATGCATACATGGATGTATGCACATTCATATATGTGCATGTATGTGCGTTGATGTGCATTCCTCTACGATGGCTGACGTTTGTGTTTTGTCGAGTGTTTCTAGTTGCCTCTCGCCGGTAGCGCTCCGTATTCATCGCCATGCTACGGGCCGATGTGTGTATGCTAGCATATACGAACAGCTGCCGCCCCACGTGCGCGTCCACCGCGCTGAGAGGATCGTCGCGAGCAGGTACACGTCAGCGTCCGCGTAGCATGCTGGCTCCGATGATGCCGTGTTCTTTTTGTTTGCCTGCTCGTTAGTGTTTTGCCTAAGAATTGTCGACATGTGAACCATATATGATGTTCCATGCTGCTCTACCCACCTCTGCCAAAGCTAGTTTCGTGGAACTCTCCATGTGTCATTGTCGGTAAACCAACAGCTGCGAGTCCCTAAGCCCTATGTAAAGCATAAGCCCTGAAACCGTAAAGTCTAAAGCGTCTACGCTGAAGCCGAAACCAAACCCAGGCTTGGATCGGCTTCGGATTTGCATTTAGGGCTCAGAGCCCACACCACATAAGCCCTTCCTACCTGATGCGAGCCCTAAATCTTGAAACTCTCAGCCGTAAAGCCTAGACTAAACCCCCTGCACCGAAGCCTTACCTCCGTTAAGCCCTACGTTACATCCCGTCCAAGCTCTTGAGCAGGTCACCGGTCGATTCGGTCTCTTCGGGGCGCCCCGGACCTTAATTTTCAGACTTAAGCATGGTCGGTGGGATCTTAGCACTTTTGTGTAGGGTTTCAAGGGGTTTTCGGGGCCTTTGGATGGTAAGGGTTCCGGGTTTAGGATTTATGTAAATGGTTCTTAAGGGTTAGGAATAGGGGCTAGGGGTGACTGAGGGCTCATGTATGGTGATTTTGTTTGTGGGGGTCCATGGCAGCTTCTTAAGGGTAATTGCAGGGAATGTGCCTTCCACTAAACGAACATAGGACGCAAGAAGTGCATTGCGAGCAGGACGGGTCACGGCATGTTGTGGCAGAAGCCCCTGCAGGGACGCATGCATGAAATCAAGACACACCGAGGTGGAACGAGAGATATCGGAGAAGCCTTTGTTCAACTACATTGGACTCGCACTGGCCTGCGTGTCTCGGCCCGCAGCGTCGATCCACAAAGCATGCTTGTGTGATTGTGGGGGTTTGGCTTCATGATGACAGGTCTTCCACTGTGTGCTGCCTGACGTCACTGTGAACACAATGTTTGCACCTGCGTTCCTCCTCCTCCTCCTCCTCCTCATCATCATCATCATCATCACCATCACCATCAGCATCATGATCATCGTCAGCATCCGCATCACCATCATCATCATCATCACCATCAGCAGCAGCATCGTCACTAACACCAGCACCATCAATACGCGCCGTCATCATCACCAGCACAAGCACCGCCATCATCACCCTCCTCATCACCATCATCACCATCAAAATTGCCATCATCCCTTATGCGATGCTGATGATGTTTGTGAGCATTCCTTGTTAGAGTGTTGGTGATACTAGAGCCCGCCGTGCACTCCTCGTCATCAATAACATCACCAGCATCGTTCTGCCGATAGCCAGCATCATCGTTGTCATGGAAGCCGTCACCGCGTAAACTCCACATCCACAGGCCCCCTCGCCTTTATCAGCATCATCATCACCGCTTCCGCAGTTATGCCCAGCATTTTCTGGCACGATTCCGACAGCAACGATCGGACCACGGTCGACATAGCGAGACAAGGACGAAGAAGAGGAAGAAGAAGAAAGAGAAGAACCAAAGACTCAGGTTTCCTTGGTCTTCATGTACCTGGCCGCACGCTTCGACACCCCGAAGGACCCTTCTGCAGACGTCGAAGCCCCGGACGAGAGCAAAGCGGAGAAGCACGAGACTGGTCCTGAGGGATCCATGCGGCTGATCATGGGCCTCTCGTCTTCTCATAAGTCAGGAATGCAAGGATCCTTGTAGTATATCATTTTGAAGACGTTTATTCTTGAATGGAAGGGCATCCTGCTACTCATCTCGGCTCTGATTGTGTTTGTGGTTCCGCCGGAGTCGCCCAAACCTGCAAACTGCAGACTGCTGCAAACTGCAGACCTCGCATTGACCGTGCGCCGGAGCCGGCTCCTCGCGAAGCCTTTGTCTGAAGGAAGGCCCAAGTGGGAAGTTTACTCAGCCCAGGCTCCAGGCTCGGAAGTCCGAAGGTGTCAATCCGTCGCCGCCTTGAAACCGCGGCTCCGAGACCAGTCTTGCACTCGGCGGAAGGCTCCCACCGGCGATATTGCCTCATGCTAGTCATACCTGGTGGGGATGCTGTGTGTTATGATGTTGATGCTGATGATGATGATGGTGGTGGTGGTGGTGGTGGTACGATCATTATGAGGAGCATGATGGTGGTGGTGATGGTGATGGTGGTGGTGGTGATTATGTGCCGTTACCATCACCATCACACGATGATTGCCAGAGCTGTCCCGCTAGTTCCTCAGACCGAGGCACATCCATGGCGGTGCTCGCCGGTGTTCTGTTTGGCACGATGTGACTCGGATGGCCATCTGAGGGCTTTTTTGGGGAACGCGTTGCTGTAGGTTCCTTGTTGTCGGGGAGGTGAGAGTAGCGGACAGATTAGATGGTTGGCAGCTGAACTCAAGTGTGTTTGGATCAAGCCGAAGACAGGAGGTTTTGAGAAGTTCGTCTGTTTGTGCTTCGTCAAAGACTTGGAAGTTGTCGATTCATGATGCCCTGAGAGGCAGTTCCAGAAATCCGAGCACGAAAATTACTTGAAAGAGCCAAGAAGAACAGTTGCTCTCGCTTGCTTAAGACCGGAAGCACGTGGTTGACGCCCGCGGGTGGGTTGCTATTGCCGCCAATACAGGAATAATGCCGGCGCGAGTGTTGTTGCTCATTTGGTAATGACTAATTAGTGATGTTGTTGATTGTTGATGCTGTCCTCACAGAACCGGGCCCAGAGCACCCCAACATCTTCTCACCAGAATGTTGAGCAGCCCTTGTGAAAAAAAACAATCCGAGAGCCTATCCTTCAGACGTTCGAGCCATCCTGCCGTACCGAAGCCCTTTGATTCCCTGCTTCTCGCGCGCCCGCGCTTTGTCGCGTGTGAGCCGAGTCCGAGGTTCGACCTGCCGCAGGATCTGATGCAGGGGCGCTTCGGGCCCTCCCACAGCTCCCGGGCTCCTTGGGCGCTTGGAAAGAGATTGCAAAACTCCTTTCTTGAGGGACCTTGGGATTTGCCGATCAATTCTTAAGGAAGCTGCCGTCCCTGATGTTCTGAAAATCTCCCGCATGTGTGATACATCTAGGTTGCTGTGGGGTTGAGGTCGTTTTCCTGTCGCCCTGCTCCTGATCTGTGGGGCTAAGCATCCAGGCTCTCGACTATGTTTTCAGCCACTTTCTGGGCATCTTCGTGACGTCTGCTTTGGCCTTGGCCATCTACGTGGCTATCCGACGGACTGGCTATGGGCCGGGATCTGGGGTTACGCAGCGAAAAATTCCGAGCCACATGCCTTGGAGGAGAAGGAGCTACATTCCCTTCAGGATCGTGTTCCCGGCGATGTGCTCGGGCATGCCACTCGGGCTTTGGAGCTGTTGTCGGCATGATCCTGCAGCAAACATCAAAGAAGCCTCCAACGCGTCTCCTTCGTCGTTTGGCTAGGATGCTGAAAGCAGTGTCAGAGCATGTTGAAGGTTGGTGATCTGCTGCGATCTCAGCATGCATGGACGTTGAGACGGCTACTGTAGCGACTCAGGACGCCAAAGAGCAGTCAAGTTTTTCTGAATTTCAGCCGAGGATTTGGGCCATCGGCACTGTGGCTTGGTTCGAGGCCAATGGTGCACTCGGCTTCTCAGCAACTGGGCGCGTAGGGAGTGAAATCAATAAACCTGTAATCTTCTATCCTCTGTCACAGTTCAACTGCTCAGAGTTTCACACGTTATAGGACCTTAGGATCTGTTGATGAATGTTAGGACTCTAGTTTGGCAGGCTGAATCCGCAAAGCAATTTGTGGCTTGACTGCCGCCAAGCTCAGAGCAAAGGCAACAGGCTCAGAACACCCGAAGCCGAAGCGCCGGAGCAAGGGCTGGAGCTCCGAGCTTTCGAAGTTTGGGAAGACACGAGAAACCCAAGCCGTCCGAAGGCCAAGCAAAAGCCTCCTTTAGTTTCCCGCCCATGGCAGAAAGAGCTCCTGAGCCCGGCCAAGGTGACCTTTCCTATCATCAGCAGCCTGCCCAGCAGCTCGGAGCATGTTGCAGTCATGCTTCTGAAGTCTCCGAGCCAGTTGGCTGTTGCACAGCGAGAGAGCGAGAGAGAGAGAGAGAGAGAGAGAGAGAGAGAGAGAGAGCGAACAAAAAAAAGAGATATAGATAGACATAGAGAGATAAAGAGATAGAAAGAGAGAGAGAGAGAGAGAGAGAGAGAGAGAGAGAGAGAGAGAGTGAAAGAGAGAGAGAGAGAGAGAGAGCGTGTGTGTGTGGCTGTGTGTCATGACGGAATGTTAAAAGGGTAAGCAGCCATGCAGAAATTTTAATACAAACACGTCTAAACCCTCTGCATGAACCCGAAAAGCCCTTGAGGAACTACATATTCCTAAACTTCGGGGGATACTTGGCGGCCTCTGTTGGCGGAGGCATCCTTGCCCTCCTCATCGGCGTCTGCTGCTTCGGAGAGCTCCGAAGTTGCAAGAGCCGCGGCTTTGCGCTGGTGGGCCCCTCGGCTTGGGAACCAAGCTTGGGCTATTTCTTCCAATCGCTTCAGAGGGCTGTGGCAGGGGTTTTAGAAGACGAGCTGTTGGGGATTAAAGGCGCTTTAAGGGTTTGCGAAGCACACTTCATGGAAATTTCAGGCGCAGGTTCCCGAAAGCGAAAGGACGCGCCGGAGCACAGTAAAGGTCCTCTTACCACCCCACTGCGCCATAGACAGGCACGTCGAAATCTTCATGGCTTGAGTCCCCAATCCAATCGAGTCCAGCTCGAGGGATTTCGCCCAGCCAAGGAGTCCTGATCCGCTTGCCCGGGGTGGCGCTGATCGCTCTTTCCAGACTCTGAGCATCTCGGCGTCGAGTCGGGCTCCCGGCTTACAGAGGGACTCATAGAGGACGGAGAAGTAAGAAGACTAAGACTTGCCGGTGGGCAGCAGGAAGTCAGAGTCCGAGGCCCAGAAGCAGTCCTAGTCGCAGTCACAGTGGTCGTCGTCGCGGGAGTTGCTGAAGCCCAAGACGGAGAAGCTTACCATAACACGTGCAATCATCAGAGCAACTTTTGTTGGTGGAAGGCCTCCCAACCCGAAACTCTTCAGCACCCCGCTTCCTCACAAGTACCTGGGGGGGCCTCTAAGGCCGCGGTGTGGCGATGCAGCTTTCGTGTACAGAGGTCGCCTGCTGGGACCAAGGGGCCACCGGCAGGTGGACGCCACACATTGGCTTTCGGCGGGTCTCAATTGGAATTGCTTCTGTGCCGGCCGCTTTGGGCACATCAAGGCAAGCTCACGGGGGCTCACAACAAACAGGGTTTGAATTGAAGCGGAAGGCTTGATCAGAGTTTTCACATCAAGACGGGCGAACTGCATGGCACAGCCGAAATACAGAAGGATCCCCATCCCGAACGGATCCTGTGTTAAAATTCAAGAACCCGCCTTATTCTTCTCGCCCAACCTTCGGATCGCCAGCACGGACCCGTTGAGACACGCGGAGCCTCTTCACTTCGAGGGTGTCAGGGATTTTTGCAGTTTTCCCTCTTCACCGGTGTACAGGAGAGTGTGTTTCCTCGCAGAAGCTCGGGGGTGTGACTGAATTTTGGGCATCGCCGGCGCCATCATCCAGAAACGGTTCTTACGTCCCGCTTCCCTGGTTGGACTGCCCCCCCAATTTCAATCACATACAGTTCCATGGTGATTCTGAATACTCATGACAGCTGCATTGGTGCGAGTTAATGCGTACTGCAAACTCGACGTAGCCCTTCCTTCACTCTCTTGCCGTCTTGCTGGCTGAACAGACCGAGTCAAGCCGAGATCCGGAACTATCACCTTCCATGTGAGTTCCAGCCTGACATGCGTCGACATACTTGCCTTCAGCTTCAAACCCCATAGACTCGACCCTAATCCCTCAACTCCCGGGAACCTAGAGGATCCCTCCTTCCGGTTGCTGCTGGTACTCTCTAGGCATGTTTCGGAAGGGGCTCCGGCCGTAGCTTCCGAGTCTAATGGGGACGCCTCTCCATGGCCTGGACAGCCCCGTCGCGGCTCAACTAAACCTGTTGAACACACTGGCAACCCTACACTTCCAAAGCCAGCTTTTCAGACTAAGCTTGACAAGAATTTTCATGCGACCCCCTAAATGTGGTCTAATGCCCCGATATGCCCGAATGAAGCCGTTTGGAAGCATTTACAGGGCAATCATAACTAAACCCGGCAAAAACATGCTGTAACATGCTCATAAACCCTTCGGCCCCAAAGCCCTAAACCGTCCTAAACCCTACAGCCCCTGCAGACCTGCTACAGTAGAAACCTGCAGCCCGAAATTCTGTCCTACAGCAACGCCCTGAAATCCCCAACTGTAGGACCCTCATAGAGTTAGCATATACCATTTCCATTTTCTAACCATGCCACCCCTCCTGAGCCCGCATGAGACCATTTCACCCATAGGATGGACCCACTAGAATTCACTAGAAGAACCATCGGAAGCACCCCATGGAACAGACCCATGGTAAGACCCATCTGAAGGCCAACCGCAAAGGGAAAATGGTATCCAACCCCAACCTGCTAACCTGAGAAAATGGAAATGGTCGATACATAACATTTTTCGACAATATGAAATAACAGGAATAAGGCTTTTGGATGAGATTGCCAATGCCTCGCAATGCTCCAGATGGCGACACCAAGGACCGATTGTCGTTGTTAAGTAGCTTGAGTGCAACAGCAGTTGTGGGTTTTGTGGTCGTGAAAAGTTTGACAACCAAGGCACTGACCAATGCTGATTTGTTGGCTTGTCGATTGCACGAGCAGATCAGCGCATTCAGCAATGCTGTTTCCTTTTTGATGTCAGCTTGGCTCAGGCTGAGAGAGTTAACACGTCGAGCTGTATGGGCCATGATTGAAAGCCTTTTTGGGACGTTGCTCGCGTGCGACATATGCATTCTGCTGCACATTTCCGCCAAAGAGAGGCGTCGAGAGCAATACATGGATTTTTTGAACATGTCCAATCGGCCGATTGTTCGCATTTCAGAATTGGCGGAGGAAACCAAGCAGTGCCTGAAGCTTCCACTCGAACGTATTCCGCCAGTTCACTTGTTGAATCCGTTGGGCAGCGGTTTCTTCGGGGTTGTTTGGACATGCCGTTTGTCTGCTGCTTCAACCAGCCTTTGTGCTGCCAAAGCCCCACGGTTTGACTGTCCTCTCGGGGCAAAGCGGGCTCACCATGAGTTGTTGCGGGATGCTTCTAACGCTGCCGTGCTTCCGTGGCACCCAGCTCTGTGCAAGATTATGTCCTGGTGTTTTCAAGATGGAGTTCCACTAACTGTGTGGGAACTAGTCCCGACGTCATGGAAGCCTATGCAATTTTTGCTGCAAGAGCACTACAGAAATGCAACAGCGCCACACCTGATCGCAAGCCTCGAATGCTTGAGAGGTGCCCTTGTGCATCTAACCGGGTGCGGCTTTCCCTTGTGGGATTGTCACGCAGGAGATGTCATGGTTGAGGACGACACTGGATGCACCAAGGTCCTCGACTGGAGTGGAGGGCCTTCAAGCGATAGCGGCAACAGTTCGTTGTTGCCACGTGCCTTTCACTGCGGGCCCGTGCCCAGAGAGGAGCTCCTGACCCAGCTGGGCGCTGGCAGGGCAGCGCAAATGGTGAACCGGCACGTGTTGGGCTTCTATGTAATGGCAGTCTGCCTGGCATTTGAATCCAGCGTAGATGCATCATCCATGCAACGAGTTGCTCAGTGCATGGAATATCCAGCCAACATGACTGGGCAGATGAAAAACATGTTGTGGAGGCTTTGTGCGAAGTCCTTATTGGCACACGAAGCATGCGAAGACATTGTCGCGCAGCTGCCGCAGTTGGATTGAGCTCTTACAGCGGCGAAATATTGTGTAACATCCACGAGATGAGGAACATGCAGATCATTTCCGGAAAGGGGCAGCGATCAACATGGTTGCTGCATGAGTTGCGAACTTGCGCTGCAGGCACTGAAAAAGTCGCAGACAGTCCAAGACCAAGTTGTTTGCGCCGCAACATTTACTCTTGTTTCCCCATTGTGCTGCCCGAAGGACTCACCGACCATGAGCTGTGCGACGCAACGCCCTACATGCCGAGCGATGTCTACTGCTGCAGGCTCTTGGGCTCAGGGCTTTGGGCTTGTCAGAGTTTTCTGTGCACTAAACCATGAAGACTTGTAATCCGATTCAAGAAATAAGTGCATTTTATGAAAGGCTTATAATCGGGGAAGCAGAGACATGTGGGATGCGACGAGAAAGAACCCAGCCCGAGAGCATCCGTTAAGGCTTTAGGGATTTAGGGCTTTACGGCTTTAAGGCTTTAGGGCTTTAAGGCCTTCTGGTTTTAGGCTTTTAGGGCTTTACGGCTTTAGGGCTTTAAGGCTTTAGGGTTTCAGGGCTTCAGGGCTTTAAGGCTTTAAGGTTTTAAGGTTTTAGGGTTTGAGGGCTTTAGGGTTTTAGGGGTTTGGGGTTTTAAGCTTTAGGGCTTTAGGGTTTTACAGGGCTTAAAGACCCTAACGACGCCTTCGGAACTACTACCCTAAACCCTAACTCCTAGACCTTAGCCCTAACCCTAACCCTAACCCGAAGCCCTAATCCACAAACCCATTACCTTAATCCCTAAACCCACAACCCTGATCCCTAAGCCCAAGACCCTGATTCTTAAAACCAAAACCCAATACCTTAAACCCTAAACCCTGAACCCTAACTAATACCTAAACCCTAACCCTGCCCGTAAACGCAACCCTAACCCTAACCCCTAACTCCCAAACCCTCACCGCTGAAGCTGTAAGCGACCCCCCTCGGCCACAGGAGGCGCTCTTCTACGCCTACCACGCTGAGCACTACCAAAAAGTTCGAAAATTTGCTTTTTGGGTAAGAGCCGTTAAAGCCAACATAAACATTAAAAGTAAAGTCCAATCTTTTAATTGGACGGGTTCGGGAATGTTCGAACCCATACGAAACGCAAAACAGTAACCAAAACATAGGCAAACCCTAAGCAAAGAAGACACGCGGAAACAAAGAAAACCGCCAAAACCGCAACAACGCATCAAAACATAAACACGAAACATCATTGACCAACATTTTTAAGATTTAGGGTTCAAATACTGCCTACCATCACCTTCAATTTTTTTTATAAGTTTGACCTAGTTTGTTTTCAACTTTATCAACTGTATAAATATTATGCGACCAGTTGCTCGCCCTTTTTTTCATTCGGTTTTTCGCTTCCTGAATATCTTAACCTCATCTCCTACATCTAGATCAGGATATATGCGGTTCTTCTTTCCTTTCATTGTTAGATGTATTTTCACTTTGAATTGATTACAGATTTTCGGGCTTCTTTTGGCGTAAATCCCGTTGCCGAGTGCTTCATTTGATTATTATAGGTTAGTATCATTTGATTCTAGTATATCATCTGGCCACTGGATGTTATGTTTTTCCTTTCTTTTCATCTGCTTCAACTCGCTTATACAGCATATTCTAAAAGTGCAGATGGCTCTTTCGCTAAAATTTGGGTGCGCCCTTGTTCTGTGATGCTCTATGTTCTCATCCTTCAAATACTTTTGTATTGCCTCCTTGTTCAATGCACCTTCATCATCTGCATAAACTATGGATGGTTTCTTACCCATCTTATTTAAACATTCAATCATTCCACTCGCTACGTCTCCTTCTTGTTAGCTTTTTATCGGCACTACATGCATGAGTTTATCAAAAACGTCTATCATCAACACCCCTACCTTAAACTTTTGTTCATCCAAATCGTTTATAAAAAACAAATCCATCTGTTACGCGTAGGCGGAATGAGGGGCGATAAAACTGTTTTGGCCTACCGGCTTTCTTTTTTGTTCAACACTCTTTCTCAAAAACTTGTCAACATTCCCAGTGTTATACTGTTGTCTTTCCCCCGTGCTTCCGATAATGTTCTGGATGTACTACCGAAACCGGCCTTCTCAAAATATACATCACGAATGATTTTCTGTTTCTGCCGCCTATGAATAAGTAACAAAAATGATTTAATACAATTATTTGAATCATCATGTAAAATCACTTTGTATTCGTTCATGTCGTATTTTGGCGCTCCACGCTTCTTCCCACTAGGTTTTCTTATCAGTAATGATTTCGGTAATTCGCGTGGGGTCAAATCTTCTTCACTTAAGTTATTCTCTTCTGTGTATTCCTTAATTCTCTTCTTTCGGTTGTGCCTTAAACCTGCTTCGCGCTTCTTTTGCATAAACTGCTCGTCCTCTTTCCTTTTGTTATAGTAAAGCCTTTGATACAATATATCCTCGGGACTTTTAAAGTTATTCAGTTGTTCATATTTCTAAACTATATATTAATATTTTATCTTTAGACATGTTTTTCTAGATATGAAAAAGTATTTAAACATAAATCTAGTTTATAATGTAATTATATTGTGTATGAGTAAAACATTTTTAGCATAACACGAGAGCATTACAAACAACCTACGACAACTACAACAATCGCTTAACGCAACCGACCCGGCCGATGCGATTGCGCCGATGCTCGCTTGTGCCACCTGGCTTCCGGCTTCCTCACTTCGAGCCCGAGCCCAGAGACTCCATAAGCCCTCGATTCAGGAACAGACTCGAATCCCGGCATGAACTACCACCCGTATAATCCATAGGGTGCAGAGATCCTAGATGACGCGCCCTTCATTAGAAATGGGGCTTGCGCTGTGGGGATGCAGGTGCGCGAGTCACGTGCCAAGGCACCCTAACAGGAAGTCAGCACGCATGCAAAGCTACGTCTATCAACGTCCTCGACCATTGCACATGCAGGCTTACATAACTAACGACTTTAACACTAGATAGTCGTTTGGGTTGCTCCCTTGTTCACAACTCTCAGGCTCCTGCTGCAGCTCCCCGGTGCCATCTCCGCCTCCTTCGCCCACGTGGCGAACTTGCTGCCCTTCGAAGATGTGGGCTGCTTTGAACACCAAAAGGGTGTTGTTTTTTTCGGTAGGGGTTTTGCGGTCTTTCATATATATATATATACATATATACATATATATATACATATATATACCGGTAGGATTCAACAGGGCCGTCCCATCAATGGAAGTTTGACTTCAGGGGGTCTACGGTTGTGGGCTTGGAACCACCCTTTAATTCAAGGGTCTTTACCCGCTCTGCCGCCCCGAACAAATTGCTAGCTGTCTCCTCAAGCCAACAGTCGACGCTTGCCATAGATGCGTGGCACCGGCGGTGGTACTGCCGCAAAATGGGCAGGCACCTTCTAAGCGGCCTCGCCGGCCCAACCTACAGCAGAGTATGTGGCAACAAGAACTTGGGGCCCAAGCTCCCCCAAACTGTAAACCATTCAGTGTACCAAGCTCTCTTGTGTCGTGCGAGTGGGAAGAAAAAGACATGGAGCTGAGGACAGCGGATCGCACTCGCCAGCTGGGTCCACGCCCGCAACGTTGCGAGGACTTGCAGCCTTATAGATGAGTTCACGTCCCCTTGCGTGTCCTTGAATGCCTAAACTTTTCGAAGCCCAAGCACTATAAACGACTCGAGCCACAAACCGCAAGACCTATAAAACCCTCAAGCCCCTGGACAACTCCAGATATCAACCCATATACCCCTGGAGCCTTGAATGCCAACGTCTCTTCACCACCTGCCAGGACGCAGGGCCTCCACGTCTCTCTGTACACGGTGGAGGCCCCCGGTTTCTGCGATTCTCCGGTGGATTCGGTTGGACCTGTGTCTCTGAAAGATCTCTGAACCTTTAACTCCGAAAGCCCCAAACTCCTAGAGCCTAGGAATCCAGCAAAACCCCTAGAAGCCCCAAACCCCCATGAACCTCCATAAACCCCAAGCCCTGCACCAGCAGCCCAAGGTCGCCAACGAGCCTCGCGTCCGTCGGGATGCAGCCTTCACGCCTTTGCCGTTTGCCTGATTTTAGGTTTGGGGTGCGAGCCCACATCCCCTTTTCGGGGGTCTTGAAACTTCAGGGCTAGGGTAGTCTTCATGAGAGGTTGCAGGTCGAGCATGGCAGCTGCTTCGCTTTCATGGCATTTCCCCACTTCGGCCCATGAAGGCCTGAGCCTCCTTTCCGCGTTTAGCCCCACATCTGCGACCTGTCCGACGCTGTTGACGGGACAGGCTTGTAACCATTGCAACAGCGGAAGGGTTGCATTATGTCGATGACAACGGTAGTCGATGGGGAGGATGATGATGATGATGATCTTGCCCATGGTGGTTGTGTGAGTGCCCATCCTACAGTGCTTTAAGCACTTTAGGCACAAAGGGGAACCGCGATCATCCCCGGGCGCCCGAGGCCGGACCTCACCCGCACGGCGCGGCACGTCATGGCCGTGGGCCACACGCAGATCCCGAGCCTGTGCTCGGGCTCTGATGTGGCACCGGAACTGTCGGTAATTGTGGCATTCATGGACAAGGAGTTCTGCTGAGCCATGGGTTACGGTAGATATATACATATATATATATATATATAAAAATATGTTTATTTTTTTATTTATTTATATTTACATATATAATGATGTGTGGCACTTTTTTGTTGTTTATTTGGGTTCCAGGCATTGCTTTGCGACTAGAGTGCTGGCACAACGGGACCTTGTAGTAACGAGTCACGAGCGAGTCTGCTGGATTCCCTCATAAGCGTGAAATGTGATCCCGGCTTCGTGATGCGGTCACGGACGAAGCTCGTGAATCATCGATGCTTTTGTAAGCCTAAATCACTACAGCCCAGCAGGCTCCACCAAGATCTTTCAGCCGCATCCATATAAGCCCCATGGACCCGCAAACACAAATCCCTATTCCGTTTGGCAGGGTCTTTCAACAGTGCTCGGCGGCTCTGGTTTTGAGCAGGCTCTCCACCCCCTGCACACTTACACCCCAAGCAATCAACAACGGTTGTCTTCATATCCCAGCACACCCAATGTCCCCGAACAACTAGCTTTGATTGTTCGACACCCTGGACCATGCCGGCCAACAGCTGGGCTGTTTTCGTTTTGAACCCTCCACCCACATCTCCAAGCGGGTGTGTGTCCCTTCGCATGGGCTCAGGCCACTTCTCCGGGACATCCTGGAGAGAGCGATGGATCTCACGGAAGACTTTATCCTGCGACTCGGCCTTTGTTCTACGACGAGAAAACCTAAACCTGAAACTTTGACACCCTAGAGGCCCATAAAAGCCCCCGTGCAAACCCGAAAGCAGCGCCAAGGCTCACCATCGCCGACCTTGGGCTCATGGCAGACTTCTACGTTCAGGCGCACTGGCACTGCCGGCCACTTTAGGGAGAGAAAGGGCATAGGACTCGGGGTTTAGGGCTTATAGGGCTTTTTTGGATATTATAGGGCTTATTGGGTTTTCGGGCTTAGGTTGTACAGGTGCTGAAAAGGGACGAGTTTGGGCACTGAGGTGCAAGCCCTCCTCGATGAGGTCGCGCCCGCGCAGTCCCTGAGCATTCTCCGTGTCGGCATCGGCCGCCGGGCATGAAAGGGCTTAGGGCTTCGGGTTTAGGGTCTAGTGGGGTCCAACTGAAACTCCACTTTTGTTGCGCAATTTGACATTGACGCCCTGATCATAACCGTGCCCTATAGACCCTTTACAGCCTATAAACCCTATTCCTGATGTATGTCAACTCGGGTGTCCACCAAAAGAACTGATCGTTTGCTGACGAACTCTGCACTGTAGCCCCCGGCATGGCCAAGGAAACTGGAGCCGCCACGTCCACCAGCGTCACTGGAACAAGGGTGGAAGGGTCATCTGGCAGAAGGTGGTTTCAAGTTCAGGGTCTTCAGAGTCTGGGATTGTGGATCGTAAAGGCCATCCTGCAACTCGTAAGAGATACGATTTGCAAAGATGCAGAAAGATGTAGCCTCGGCCTGGAACCTTCCTGAGATGCTAGATGCCTCCTTGGGTTTCAAGGGGCTGCAGGAGAATCAAGCTCTCCAACAGCAGGTGAGGCTTCAGCATGCATCCTCTTCCACGCAAAACAAGATCGAGCCAAGCCCAAACACACGAGCCCTAGGATATCCTAGCATCCTGATCCTGAGGTGTACCTGAAGCCCTTCTTCGACTTGGCCTCCTGGCGAAACAGCCCACGGTCTCCGAAACCCTAAGGAGCCCTAAGCCCCTAAGCTCTAGACCTTAGATTGAGTTGCTTGGCAGCATGGGTTCCACCTACGGATGTATGTGGCTTCACGATCTGAGAGTCAGGGATTCGGCGCGCAGGCGAGCAACACTTCGCCCATCCTATGATTCCTATATGCGAGGTTTATGCAAATTGACAGCGGCAAATATGAATGCAAGCATCGATTTTCGGATGCCTCGCTCTTCTTTTGGTTAAGCCTTGTCAGAGATCGGGATAGGCTCGTTTTTCTTTCCCAGACGCCCGCACCCGTAAGAGCCTGAGATTCTCGTCATCTTACCAGGATCGCAGTTCTTATTCGGGAATTTCGAACAGCTGAATTACCTGCTAGTCTCATGATCCCCCAGAAACCCGAATCTAGCTATTCAAGCTCCTCATTGTGCGCGCGCCCGCACATGCTCAAAGAAGATAGTAACCTCGACCAGTCGGCCGTAAATCCGAAGTAGATACCTTCTTGCCGCCTTGACCCGGGATCATGGAGTTTGAGGATCCCATCACGTAGCACCCCTCATGCACGGCTGGCGCTGAGGAGCCTGCATGTCAAGAGCTTCATGTGCGGAATGGAACATTCCACCGAGTATGCGCCGAAACCCTTAGTGCAGTTAAACACTCTGAGGCCCTAGATTGAAGTGAGCCCCGGAGACTCTCAACCCGAAATCCCATCCCAGGTTCGACAGTTTCCGCAAATCCATCCCGGCAGCGACTGCTTCGTCTTCCCGCGCGCCGCACTCCCGCGGCCCCTGGGACGACTCTCAGAAACCAGGGTTACCGGAAGGCCATTCAATGCTGCTTATCATCTTGCTAATGATATGATATTGATGTAGCATAATATGTAATCTGAAGCCTTCGATCAGGCTTTGCGCTCCTCGGATACATCGCCCGTAAGCGGGTGTCCGAGCGGTAGTGGGAAGTTTCGTGCAAAAGCAGGCACTTCCCCGCCTCCCCCTTCCACCCTCCCCCAAATCCTGATACCAGTAGCTTCAACAGGGTTTCACCGCAGCCAGCTATCCGAAGACGCGAAAGATCAACCCCTGAAGCACCAAAACTCGAAGACCCTAAGACCTTCTTAGGCCCATGCTACGCCCTGCACCGAGAGTCCTCTAAGAGAAGGATGCTCCCCATGGTGGGCTACGTCTTCTACGGCGTTCCGCCTTTTGGGAAATGCATGCTGGCAGCCTGGCATGTTGGAGTTCTGGGTCCACTGCGTGGGACACCCGTGCTTCACTTGGGGGTGTTGGTGACATTTGGCGCACCTTCACAAGAGTTGTTTGCGGAGGAAAGGAATCCGTGAGCCTCAAGCACGGAAATCCATTCCATCTTGCAACAAGCCATCTAAAATCAGGGCCAAAAATGCATGAACGTGAGCTGTTCAAGACTGCTCCCTTGCTGAATGGCTTTTCTGATCTTACTACAGCCTAATCTAAGCCCTGAGCCCTCAACCCCAAGTCCTAAGATGGCAATGGGAGCAGCCACTGGTGGTGCGGTGATGGTCACCTGGCTTGCAGCCGAAGTGTTGCACCTGCGAGGGCCTGTGAACGTAGGTTTGGGTTCCGCGTTTCGGGCACAGGAGATCGAAAGTTTGGACATCTCAACTTGTGCCGTCTAGTCTAGCGGTTCTGCTTTCTGCAATGATGAGCATGTTTGGTCCTTTTTCTCCATGCGCGGGTGTTGCATTCGTAAAGTCGGTGCGCTTTCTCGTCTCTTTCCTGCAAGCTGGCTAGGCAGAGCGTGGAACATGATGGTAGATTTTTGCGCTTTTAGTTTTCGCCATGCATGCAATTCCGAGCATCCAGGAAGTTGCAAAGCAGCAGCTCACCTTCCACCTCAACGCTGCTGAAAGGGATCGCAAGCCGATGCCCACCCTGCATTTGGAGCTTTCTTGGGGTTGTCGGCAGTGACTAAGGCTTAACTGTCTGCAGAACAGGACCGAGGGTGTTGAGATGCCGAGGCTCAGCGGTATGTTTGCCCGAACTGTTGCGGGGAGAATGAAGTTTGCAAAGTTTCCCCGCGCAGCCGCGCAGCCTGCATTCGCAACACGATGTTTGCGTGTGCTTTTGATGCGAGTGCTCTCATCTTGCATAATGATCCTGCTCCTTCGCATCAACGAGTCGATGGAACGAGTGAATGCGCTTGCCAACACATGTACTCTAAAGCTGCCGTACTCAGACTCGGTTTGCCGCGCAGCTTTTATAAGCAAGGCCATCACATTGCAAAGCGGAGCTCCAGTTTGTCCGCCGCCACCCGTAAATGCCGACCACACTGCTGCCGCTGCCCCGGCTCAGGAACGGCCAGTTGCACTTCCATTGGCAGGCGAGGTTTGCCCTGCAAAGTTAGGGCCCTGCGTAGGCCCGGCTCTCAACAGCTGCTCGAGCATGCATGGACAGAGTCCGAATGCAAGCCCTCCGCCTGTGCAGGGTTCTTTTGTGTCTCTACCAACGTGGACAGGGTCTTAAAAACACCTCCTCTCCTGCGCACGGATTTTTCTTCTACCGCGCCGTATCCATGACCAAAAACAACCTTCCCTCAGCGGACAAGGCTTTCAGTGGCCTCTCTGCATCTCGGATCGAGATTCCTGGCGCCCGAGATGTAGAGAACACCTGGACGGGCCACACAAGGGCTGTTTTACTTCTTGACAAGGCTTCATCCAGACGTGCCGGTGTCGCCCGAGTTGTTTTCTGCGCTTGTGTGCTCCTTCTGTTGCTTGTTTTTCATCACTGTCACGCCTTTTCCGGGCTCGGGCCTTCACGGCCTTCCCCCTTCCTGCCCTTCGCAGGCTGCCTGATTTTCGCGGGTCCCCTGTTTTGCGCTGCCTTCCTGGCCTTTGCCCTTCGAGGGCTTCCCGGCCTGGGCTCCCTGCCCTTCACTGTCGCTGGGCCCTTCGGGCTCGCTGTCCTTCGCGGGCTCTATAGACTCCTTCGAGCGGTTTGCTCTTTGTTCTGAAATTCTCGAGTTCCTTTCGAGCGGCTTGCTCCTTGTTCTCAAATTCTCTATTCGTTTTTTCAGCGGTTTGCCCATAGTTCCCATTCTCTAGTCTTTTGCCAGCAATTTGACACTTTCTCTCAAAATCTCTCGTCCTCGAGCGGTTTGCTCCTTGTTCTCAAAATCTCTGGTCTCGTTCGAGCGGTTTGCTCCTTCTTCTCAAAATCTCTAGTCTTATTCGAGCGGTTTGCTCCTTGTTCTCAAAATCTCTAGTTTCTTTCGAGCAGTCTGCTCCTTGTTCTCCAAATCTCTGGTCTCTTTCGAGCGGTTTGCTCCGTTTCTTTCGAGCGGTCTGCTCCTTGTTCTCAAAATCTCTAGTCTCTTTCGAGCGGCTTGCTCCTTGTTCTCAAAATCTCTGGTCTCTTTCGAGCGGTTTGCTCCTCCTTCTCAAAATCTGTAGTTTCTTTCGAGCAGTCTGCTCCTTGTTCTCAAAATCTGTAGTTTCTTTCGAGCGGTCTGGTCCTTGTTCTCAAAATCTCTAGTCTCTTTCGAGCGGCTTGCTCCTTGTTCTCAAAATCTTTGGTCTCTTTCGAGCGGTTTGCTCCTTGTTCTCAAAATCTGGGGTTTCTTTCGAGCAGTCTGCTCCTTGTTCTCAAAATCTGTAGTTTCTTTCGAGCGGTCTGCTCCTTGTTCTCCAAATCTCTGGTCTCTTTCGAGCGGTTTGCCGGCTGCTCCTTGTTCTCTCCTGGCCCTTATGACAAGCTTGACTCGCCGGCCTCGGAGACTCCGGGCTCGCTGTTTTGTTGCCTCTCCAGGCTGACGTTGCGTCCTTTCTTCTTTTCCCCTCCCGTCCCCTCCCCTAACTCTCCTTTTCTTTCCAGTCTCTTCCTTGCCCTTCCAGTCCTTTCTGCTGCCCTTCGTTCCTTTTACTAGCTTCCTGTACCGTGGCCTTTGCCTGCTTTCTTTTCCGCTTCCCTGCCGTCGTCTTTTTCTTCCCCTTCCCCCGTTTCTATGTCTTTCGGTCTCTCTGTCACTCTGTCTGTCTGCCGCTGTTTTTCTTTGTTTCTCTTTCTCTCACCTCTGCTTTCCCTCGTTCGGCTTGGTTTCCCTCGGTCTCTCGTTTCGTCTCTTTTTTTTTTTCTCTCTCTCTCTCTCTCTCTCTCTGTCTTTCCCTCTGTCACCCTCTCTTTCTTTCCAGTTACCCCTGTGTCTGTGTCTCTCCGTCTCTTTGTTTCTCTGCTCTATGTATCTTTGTTTTTGTTCCTTCGGCTTTAGACCCCCAAACCCAGGGCACGATAAATGCCTTGTACGGCCGATGAAATAGGTTGTTGTTGGCCTCCTTAAACATTGGTTTCGTTCCTTCGGCATTCAGCCCCCAAACCCAGGGCATGAGGAGTTTTTTCGGGGTGTGAAAAAGCCCCACCAGAAAACAACCAACGAATAGAAACGACTGATCGGTGGAGTTCCTATAAGGTTTGGAAGGCGGTTTGGGCTTTCGATCGAGGGATGTTCTGGCCTTAGAGTCTGGGGATGTTTGGGGTCCCCGGGTCTCAGGACTTTAGATCAGGAGAGGCATCCGCAGGAAATTCAGGGTCAAAGCTGATATCAGGCCAGCTGGTTCGGTGTTTGCAACCCCCGACATGGGCAACCTGGAAACCTCGCAAACCTAAGCCCTGGAAACGCGCTAACAGCCTAATGCTTGAAGCCGCAACTTCATTTTTCTCGAAGCCTTCAACCTGAACCTAAAGCCCCGAAACAATTGCGAACCCACTGCATATTGAATATCTGCAACCTTCAAAACCCGAAAGCTTTAAATCCCCAACCCCCGAAGCTTTGAAGGAGCAGACCTCGATGAAGAAGGAGCTGCACTCCTTTAACAAGTACGTCGGCTTTGCCATGGCGAGCCTGGCCCTGGAGATTGTTGTTTCAGAGTTGAAGGCTGAGGGCATCTAAGGCTACAACAAGGCTCCTGCAGGGAGTTCAGGAAGGCCTTCTAACTAACGGTTTCTTTTTCAGGGTTACTTCAGAGCTTTAGGGGTTTAGTTTGCGGTTAGGGCTTCGGGCTCCCGGAATCCAAGGCCTTAGCAGCCTTAGCAGCAAGCCTTAACCTGAGGACCTTTGCAAGGGAAGGGGCCAAAGAAACGATGCCAGCAGCTAGACGTCCAACTTTGTGTTGGCCCCAAACAACGCTCTGAGGAGCCGGGTCTGGGATCAGGGCGAGCTGGTTCACCGCCTCTGGAAACACTTTCAGGCATCTTCGGCTTTCCACTTTCCACGAGCCCTGCACCCCTTGCCACACGCATGGGTAGTTGTCAAAATTGTGGCTCCTTTTTGGGTACCCTAAATATTAGGTGCCGTACTATAATAGGGACCCAAAAAGGGACCCTAGGTTTGACAACCACTCACATGCATCATCTGCCTATCTGCCGCTTCTACGAGGACTTCAGGCAATGTTGTTTGCTTCGGTATCTGACCACATGCGATTGGAAACAGGGCCTCGTATGCTTGTACGGGTTCCGTTTTGGGCACGAAAGTCTTATCGAAGGATTGTAGTGTTTGGCGTTGGTAGGTCCTTGAGGTTGATGTTTTTATTTCAGAAGTCTGGCTTGCTTGCTTGCTTGCTTGCTTGCTTGCTTGCTTGCGTGCTTGCTTGCTTGCAGGATGTGGCTCATCACAGCATGCGCTCCGACCAAGATCTTGATTGGGCTTTCGGAGATATCCGAAGTTAAAACAGCTGCTTCCAAGTCAGTCACACGCACTCGATCAAACATGATCAAGCACTCGAAGGCCTCATGCATGATCCCTCTCTGGAAAATGTCGGGCAACATGTACGTCATCTGATGCAACCCAGCGCCGGAAAGGGGGCTTTAACCGGTATGACAAGCATGAGCTCTTCATCTGCTTGGGCCTAAGCTAAACTAAGATCCTCTCCTGTTTCAGGTCCCCAGCGGGTTCAAGCTCGAAGGAGGAGGCCTTTCTTTAGGGCCTGGGGGTCGGTCTTGGCAACTTGGGGTTAGGGGTTTGTCATGTGTACAGGATTAATGACGGGAGTATGAGATTCAAGTGCTATGTGGGTTGGAAGAGCCCAACCGCTGAGAAAGGTCGAACTTGGCATTCTGGTGGATGGGCTTAATCATAGAGTTTTGGAGTTTGGGATGGGCGTTGCGAATCAGTTAGCTCGGCCCTTGTCGTAGCCCTTGTCGTAGACAGCGCCTTTTCAAGTCAAGCCTCAAGAGGATTCAGGCGAGAGAGCCGCTCTGGCCCTCAACAGCTAATTCTAGCGCTCAAGCTGTAATTGACCAGAACCTTGAAGCCTCAAAGAAATCAAGTCAGCCTAGGCCCTCAGGCTCTCAGCACTAGTATGGTCTCCTGTTGTGTGCAACGTGCCATGCAGAAGCCACACTTTTGCTTTTTGCCTGTTCCAGAGAGCTCCAAAGTAATGCTCGAGCGTTTCAGGTCACTTTGTCGACTTGGAGCAATGCTTCAGGGAAGTCGGCATCATCAGCAACCCGGCCCAGATCCCCAAAGACTGTCTGGGATTACTGTGGTTACACTATTACACGAAATCCGATGCTGCCCTCACTGCCCAGGGCCCGGGAGTTAACCTAAGCGCATAGTTCAGGGCACAGAAGCCCTGAACCTCGACTCCGCAACCCGCACCTTAGATCCCGAAGGCCCCACATCCCCCATCTCTGCAAGCGCTGATCTGTATTCACTTGTCCATGTGGCCACGCCCAGGAAGATCTAGGCAACTGGGGTCGAGGAGCTATTTTTTCCACAAATACAGCTATGGTAAAATGGTTGAACCCCCAACTCGACTGGCGCGGAGGTTCTCCGAGAGTGGGCACAAGGGGCCTTGCATTCTGAGAGCAAGTAGCGGTACTGCCAAGAGAATCGTTTCAGAAGGGTCTTACGGTTTAGAGGTTCGAGTCTAGAGGACTCCTTTCACCAGGATCTTATAACTCAGGGTTTACTGTAGCGTGCAGTTTCAGAAAAAAAACTCCCCAAAGATGCCACCGGAGCTTCTGCTCTCAGCTGGCCTGGTGCTGGTGATCAGCCGTAAGAGCCAGAGCTCGGCGGTGCTCCCTTACGTCCATGGCTCAGAGCAGGGCTACGCTGCAGAAACGAAGTCGGTACTACCATAATATACTGTAATTCTGATACTCCATACGTCCATACTACAACTACGACGACGGCCACGACGTCCATGACGATGCCAGCACCACACCCTCCGTCAGTCATCACCGCCAGCGTCCCTCATCACGGCCATATGTAGCCAGAGCAGCAGCAAGATCAGCAGCAAGAAGTATCATCGTGGAAGCTAGCAATACCTATTCTGCTGGGCCCGTAGATGTGCAGCATGAGATATGATCCATGTCATGCTACTGTTGTTACGAGGCTGCTGCGCTAGTGTGCGGCTGTGGCAGTTGATTGGTTGCCGCGGTTGTGTCACGGGTCGGTGGTCGCCAATTTAAAGCATCCTTCGCGGCAGAAGGCTGTCAGCATCGCCCAGTTGTCGCATGTTCTGCATCGTTGAAGGTTTCGACGCAATCCAAGGAGCAGTTTTGCTAGAGCTTGCTGAAGTGTGAGGCCACCCAAAAAAGTGACCGCAGGCCTCTAGCACCGCGTATCCTCGCCACTCGAATCCGAAGATGCAACCGAAAGGTCGACGTGCAACAAGGCTCCTACACTAACAGCCGAAGAACGCAAACCCGACGCCTGCAGCACTAAACACTCTAAAGGTCTAGAGCCCGAAAACTTAACTCATAAACCCTACCCACCAGTTTAAAACACCCCCAAACTCCAGCCAAGGTCCTTCATGTGGATTTAATCCAGATGATAAATGCCAGCAGCGGTCGAATTCGAAGCCGACAGCGGGTCTGGGTCTCCTGGGCCCAAAAAAAGAGTTCAGGGTAAAAGAGTCAAAGGGAACCCTTAACGGGGTTTGGGTTCAGGGCCTAAAGGCATTAGGGCTTGGAGGGCGCTTCAGGAACTTGAGGAACCCTATAGACCTTAACCTTCCTGGGCCCAAAGAATGGTTCAATGCCGGAATGTTAAAGGCCCGATGGAGGTCCTGTGGATGTAGAGTTTATTGATGGATCTGCACGGGTCCAGGGTTTGGAGTTTGGAGGCTTTCCTTTCAGACCCTTGTGTCTTGCGTCTTGAGCCTAGCAGCCCGTGAATCGCCGCCAAACCCCTGACACCGATTGGGTTTGAGGCTTGTCTGGCTTATGATGTCAGGGTGCCCTCTCAGAGCTCTTTGTTGCTTGGGGGCTTCATCGCAAACTCCAGCCTGAGCCCCGAGATAAACCACAAACCCTTAAAGCCCTTAAGCCGCAAACCTGTAGGCACTGAGTCAGGTCCGAAACTCCACAGCCCCAGACCACTGCAGCATAAACCCCCAAGCCAATGTTTCATAGCTCCTGGGCAGCTTCTCAGGGCCTCCCTCCAGCGTTGGAGATGGGAGACTTCGGGCCCAATGTGGTGGTGGCCCGGCTCCAGATGCCCTACGAGGCCGGTCCTTTGGCATTGAAGCCCCGGAACGACAAGGACAGACCCTGCAGTCTAAACCCAGGTTCCGGTCTTTATCCACACGCCCCTGAATCCGACTCCCTGACCGAATCCGGCTCCAGGCGGGCGACTGCCTTGGCTGGGCCTGGCGCTACGTGCCTCGCCAGAAGAGCTTGAAGGCTCAGGCTCAGGGGCAGTCTTAAAGCCTGAATGGAGGGGTTCTGAAGCAGTCATGAATCTAGACTAATTGAGTTTGCTGATGCTTCGAGCAGAAGCCACACAGACCTGTTCTCCGCGTGAACGGGGCTCCAGGGCTGCTTGCTGCTTCAGGCTTTCAGTGTTGGGGGCTCGGCGTTTAGTTTTGGCTGTATCCTGCGATCCAAGTCCCTTTGAACACCGTCGGCAGGCCTGTTTCAAGCATGAGCCTCTTCTTTCAGGGCCATGCTTCGGACTTCGGATGCCCGAAGCCAGGAACCTCCAAGTCACAGAATGAGGGGTTCGGGTGCAGGGCTGATGGTTTGGATTTGGAGACTCTTGTCGTCTGTTGCGCATTTATGTATGTATGTATGTATGTATGTATGTATGTATGTATGTGTGTATGTGTGTATGTGTGTATGTTTGCGCTTTTGTGCGTATGTATGTCTGTATGTATGTATGCATGCATGCAGGCATGCATGCATGTATGTGCATATGCGTGCATGCACACCCAATTCGGTAACACTAGCACATATGCATGCACGTCCCTGTGGGCTCATTCGAGTCAGATTGTAGTTGCGTCAGCATTGCCAATCTTCATACAATGGATCCGAAGTCCTCTCAGGATGTGACCGGCTTGAGTTTGGGCAGCGAGGAGGCGCAAGGACAGTGGCGTTGGGTTTGATGTGAGTTTATGATTCGTGGATTGCTTTGTTGCGTTTAGGGTTACGCTGGAGGTACCACAGGGTGCCGTGGGTACATGTCCATGAGTGTGCCGCGATCAGAAACCGTAAAGGCCTGAAGGCCAAAGGCAGAGACGAAGCAATGTACTGTACCGCCATTGTGCCTGCACTAGCACGCTGTCTTGGCTGCTTTGCATTCTCAGACCGTTTTCAGCTGTTATTGGAGTGGAAGCAGCCATGCCTCCAAAAGCACTGCGGCGCTACATTGAGCTCCAGGACTGGAAGGATCTCAAACCTCATGTCGCGCAAAGCTCACGCCCACATGGGTTCATCTACACGTCGCAAGCTGCAGCTCAAGCTCTGTGTGGATGCAAAGCGTACACAAACGATATTACATACAGCAAGGACGAGCAGCTGTCACTCTACCTCTCCGCAGACACGCACGGGCATGTAATATGAACGACAGTGTGCTCACGTTTGCACACACAGGGAGAAAACCGGTTTATGTACATGGCGACTGACACTATAAGGTGGAAGTGTTGATGAAGCATCCTGATCCACTGTGTGCCGGAGGACCTGCCCCAACGCTGTACCTGCCGGTGAGTCGTGAATATGGAGTCACCTGGGCCGAATGCTTTGTTTCAAGGATACTAGATCCTGGACGGCACTTTGCAACGATGATGATGACATTGATATTATGGTGCTCATGGTGACAGTCACGATGTAGGCGGAGGTGACGGCGGCTATCCGATCTCCGAATCTGCACAGGATGCAATCTCAATTGCCAAAGGACCCCTCCTCCGGTCAGCATCACGAGGTTGTTTTTGTTTGGCGGATCTCTTCGTGTATGTTCAGGGTTGGATGGTCAACTCCCGACGGAAGAGCAGCACAGGTCACCAATACGCTGACCTATCCACTCAGCCTGCGGCACCGACTGGCCGTTCGGGCGATCGTGCAAGCCGGCATCCCGCACGCGGGCTTTGAGAGACGGAAAATGACAGTGGCTCAAACCCTTCGGCGAAGTTGGAATCTGGAGCCAGGCTTTACGTTTTGGTTGATCAGATCTAGCCAGGTCCCACAACGAGAGCACTTGATACCACGGGCGCTGCGCGCCTCCCATGCAAGACGGCCAGTTGAGCAGTGGTGTGGCACTGGAGCCAGAATGAGCCAACCACTCATTTGTTGACCGCAGCTGTGGCTCAAGCGATCGCCGATGTGATGTGCTGAGCCCCGGACTTGCCACCAGCCTAAAAAAATTAAGAATTTTTGGGTTTTGTCTTGGGTCAGGGGGTGGGGTTCGGATTGGTTCAGAGTTAAATGCTTGTGGGGCGGGAGTGCATCGTGTTCCCCTGCCTGCTCACGGATGAACCCTACTACCATACAGCTGTGGGCTATGATCGCGGATCGTCTCAAAGACGCAACGTCTTAATTGTTCTGCATCACGGATTATGGACATCGCTCTAGCGCAAGTCGCACCTCCACTTCCAAATTGTTATTTGTTAGCTTCGCTGCATCAGTCGACAATGAGGCAAGTCTGAAAGTCAGCGTTGCCTAGCCTGTAGTGACCATGATTGTGGATGTGATGTTTGTTTGATCTGCTACCGTTAGGGCCTTTGAGCGTATTGTGTAGCTTTGCAGTGAGTGGGAAAGTCAGACCAATTCCAAGGCAAGCTTCCTGGATCCTGACGCATGCCCACAGACTGAACCGCTGGCAACCCGGACAAACAGATAGGTAAGAAAGGGGATATGCCCTTGACGTGATGTTTCGTCGGGCAGAGTCTTCCTGTTCAAATCTTATGCCCTTTGGGCGCATTCTCGCAATCCATCCAAGTCGATCCTCCCAGGGCTCTTCATCGTCTCAATATGTCTCAAGGCATCATGATGACGGATGTAGCAGAATCTGCTAAGCTTGTGTTCACTCGCAACGGTGGTGCTCACCGCATACATTGCCAAGAATACTTACCCAGGAACACTCGCCAACAGGGTTAGTTATAAACAAATTCCTAGAAAACACCATTAACAATACGAAACGCTAAGCACACAAAGTCGCACTAACACTCAACCATACAGTCGGTAAGACACTTCAGGGCCAAATCTAAAACATTTTGAAGTGCGCTGTTCTGCGGGTTTCTGTAGAATCGGCTTTTCGTCTATTTAATATGGTTTTGCCAAGCATTCTGCCGTAGGGGTAATCAAGACAGGGAGCAGAACGTTGATGTGGCAAGCAAAGGGTCGTTGCAGCGATAAGGTTTCGGATTTTGGCGGGCTACGGACCCGTTCGACCCTATGAGGTGCTTGCGCTATCGGGAAACACTCCTGAAGCAACCACTTTTTGAGACGAGGCTGTTTCAGCTTTTGTTTGGCGTTTTCAAGATTTGGGGCTTTAGCGTTTTTACGGCTTCCAGGGTTTGCTCTTCTCTTGCGCAAGGGCATTTGAGGTTTTCGGGTTTGGGGTTTGTCGTGAATGGCCACAGAGTTTGGCCCCGTTGCAAGCCCTCCGTACACCCTGACCCCAAGGGCCCACCTCCTCGGGCACGGGCCGTGTTAGGGTTGCCAGCAGGCGGTGTGTTTTTGGGTGGAGTAGAAGGCGCGAGCGCGAGCGAGAGGGGAGGGAGGTTTGTAGGTATGGGTGTGCAGTGCGCAAACTGATGAAGCATGTAATGTACATGACGCAAATGCCTTTGCTCAGAGCCTCCTTAATTCCTTGATAAGAAAGCTGGAGCTATGTTGCGGCCCAAATAGCAAGGCCCCCCCCCCATCGACCAAAAGTTTTCGCTTGAATAGTCTGGTGTCAGTGACCCGTCGGACCGGGGTCAGTGTCTGGTTGTCAGGGAATTGGGAGGTTCCGGGGTTTGCGGGCTGGTTTGGGTGCAGGGTCTGCGGTTCTGCGCGAATGCGCGGTCGGGGTTTGGGGATCACCACAAGCTCGACACCAAGCCCCGATCATTCCAAGACTAAAAACCCCTTCAATTTGAAGACCTTTGCCTCCAACCTACACAGTACCGTAGTAGTACAGTAGTAGTACGGCCGTAATGCAGAAGTAGTACATGCAATATTAGTACAGTAGCAGAATAGTAGTACAGGAGTAGTACAGTACCAACTCTGCAAGAGATTATCCTTCCTGACGCCCGATAGGCGAAACAATTCTGCAAGAGATTTTCAATCCTAACGCCCCAACAAGCGAAACAGTTCTGCAAGAGATTTTCATTTTTAACTCCACAATAAGCGAAACAATTCTGCAAGAGATTTTCATTCCTAACGCCCCAATAAGCGAAACAATTCGCAAGAGATTTTCTTTCCTTTCGCCCCACTGAGCGAAACACTTCGGCAAGCCGTTCTCATTCCTAACCCTAAATAAACGAAACACACGAGGGTTTAGGAGTACCTGGAGCTGTTAAGCGGGGTTTGGGGATCACCAAAGGCTGGACACAAAACGAGAACCCCGATCAACCCAAGATCACCACCAAGACTAAACAACCTTCATTTTGAACACTTTTGCCTCCAACCTACACTCCCCTCCACAATCGAGCACGTCTGAGGCCTGGACCGGAGTAGTACAGTCTGACAGTAGTAGTACAGTAGAAGTACAGTAGTGGTACAGTAGTGGTACAGTAGTGGTACAGTAGTAGTACAGCAGAAGTAAAGTAGTAGTACAGAAGAACAGAAGTAATAGGCCAGTAGTAGTACAGTAGTGGTACCATAGTAGTACAGCAGCACTACAATAGTAGTACCGAGGGTTTAGGAGTACGTGGAGCTGTTTAGCGGGGGGTTTTGGTGATCTGGTGGAAACCAAAGCCCCGATCACTCCAAGATAACTACCAAGACTAGCACCCTTCATTTTGAACACTTTTGCCTCCAACCGTATACACTCCCCTCCACACTCGACCAAGTCTGAGGCTTGGTACTGTGCAGTAGTACTACGGTAGTAGTACAGTAATAATACAGTAGTACAGTAGTAGTGCAGTAGTCCAGGGGTTTAGGTCGTGGGTGCCTTAAGATTGACCATCAGCAAACAGCACAGTCACCCCCCAACTAATTCTCCCCAGCAAAACAACCGCCCAATTTTTTCTGCCCGGTTTGAATCAGGAAAAAACGCATTAAATAGGCCCATATTCCTAAACGGGCCGCCGCATTACGGCTTGCACGCGATCTTTTGCTGCCGGTTGCAGCAAATGTACAACAACTATGTCCGGTCACTGGCTCCCCGACTCAAACAAACACACTTGAGGCAATGGTTGTATTGGCCGCAAGATGGGAGATTGAAAAATGCCCAAGCAGAGTCACTCGAACCATGCAACAAAGAGACAAGCTCTCCGGCGTGACAAACGATGAAATATGTGTGTCTGCGTGGGCGCGTCGCGGACGCTCGACACGCCGTGGGTCGGGGTCCAAGCACTGCCTGCCAGTTCAATGCCACCACAGTTGTGGGGTGGTTTTGCTTTGGGAAGGCCGAGTATTGTAATCTTACGACAGCGTACCGTTCAGCCTGATGTAACACTTGAAACCGGAGCTAAGGTGAAACGAGGACTGACGTCATCCGGTCCCTGGCAGGGTATGGGCGGGCCCCCACGGTGGCCGGCTCATCGCCACCGCTGGGAGCTCAAATGAGAGACTTTTTCTTTAACTCCCGCCTCTTGACCGTAGCAGACAGGGTTGAGCGTCGACCCAGGTGGGGGCCTTCACAGCACCGCCGAGTGGAGCCGGGGCCGCGGCAGCAGGTGTCGCCAAGACCTTCACCTCTGAGCCTTGGCACGACGTTGAGGTGGGTGTTTCTTTTGGACCCTCTTCGTTAATGTCTAGGTAAGTGCATCTGGGCCCTGATCCCTTGAAGGCCCTAACACCACCACAATTCCTCACCTTGAACCCGAACCCAGTATCCTACACCCAAATTCGCCAAAACACCGTAACACCGAAAAAAGTATATAGCTTCTAGGACAAACGCAACGTGGAGGCCTTGCTCTGCGTTAATGGTTAGACAGAGTTTCGGGGTTTGTTTGTTTTATTCAATAAGTGTATACCGATTGTATCAAGGGTCAATCGTCTGGGTTTCTGAATAGCTAGACTAGGGCCGGGTCGTTCTTTGCAGTGCGATGCAGCCCAAGGATCATCGCAGAGCCTGATGCCTCTCGGCGGTTTGGGTGATGTTGAACTATCCTTCAAAACCGTCGCACTAATTGCATAAGATTGCATGAAGACCCGAGCCAACAAGGACTGTCGTGGCATGTGCACCAAGAGTTTTTTTTATTGTTATGGGATGTTCGCTGGGTATATGCAGGTTTCCGTTCATTCCTTAAAGTTTGTGGGTCTCAGGCACAGTGGATTCGCAAGATCGAAGAACGTTTTTGCATTGCATTGGCTACTCTTTTATGGGTGGTTTGCCGACAAGTCTGCATTCTTTGGAAGTACATAAACCAGGGTTGAACACTTGAGCACTTGCAGCTTGAGCTTTTCACAAATAGCTGGATTCGTGCACAGCGTGCAATGAAACACACTCCGCATCCAATGAGTTAAGCTCCACGTCTACACACTAAGCCCTACATCCTACCCCCCAAGCGACTAAAACCTAAACCCATTTAGACCCCCTCTACAGGCAACCTTAGTGCACCCCGCCGGTGAAAAATGGGGCTAGGCCGACTGGGGCTTTGAAGCACCCGGACCGGTTTGAGTTTAGAGTGTGAAGGTTTTTGTTTCTTCAAATTTCCAGGACCCTATTGGAATTCTCCGGCTCCCTGTAGTGTAGGGTTTTATAAGGATTCTAAGATTTTCGGTTTGAGGCTGTCGGTTTCAGGCTTTACGGTTTGGGGCTCGGGGCTTGGAGTGCAGAAAAGTGAAATGTTAATATTCGCTAGGTTTTCGTTAAGGAATTTACAGGCTTGTATCGTATATGTATTGCATGAGTTGTGCTCATTACGATAGCTTTGAAAAAGGTATGTGTTTTGAGCAGATGAAATAGTAGTTCGTATGCAGTATACAGCATATAGTATACCGTACATAGTGTATATATATATATATATATATATATATACAGATGTATTTGTATATGAGTGCGTATAGGAAATTATGTAGTATTGTAGTGTGTATATAAAGTGTATACACATACAGTATATACAGTATACATAGTATATACAGTGCCAAAAGTATATACAGTAAATATAGCATATATAGTATACATAGTATACATAGTAT